TGCTGTTTTTACCCGAGAGGAACCACATTCAAACATCCTCAAAAGGCCTGTACAGTATTGTTAAAATAAATTATCACAGTTATGGATCAGTGCAATAATTGCCTGGTCTTTAAATGCTTTTTAAAAGTTCTTGTTTACGTCTTAGATGTTTCAGTCTCTTGGGTAGAAATATAATAAGACTTTAAATCGAAATTAATTTACTTGAGATGCAAAATTTAGATATGAAGTCCTGTTTTCTGAGAAATTCTTTTTTCTGAGAAATTAAGTGAGTTTATGCTTAAAACAAGAACAAATATCTGTCGATGGGGTATGAAAATGTGTTTCTGAGCCCACTGATATCTGTTCTCATTTTGTCATAAACTCGCTTCATTTTTATCAGTTTCTCAGAAAAAAGGTCTTAAGAACTCTTAATTCTCCCTTTCACAAATGAAGACCTTAAAAGGTCTTAAATCAGTCTTATAGTGTTTAAAATTAAAATTCTGTCATCATTTACTCACCCTCAAGTTGTTCCAAACATGTATGAGTTTCTTTCATCTGTTGAACACAAAAGAAGATATTTTGAAGAATGTTGGTAACCAAACAGCTGACGGTACCCATTGACTTCCATAGTAGGGGAAAAATACTATCGAAGTCAATGGGGACCAGAAACTGATTGGTTGCCAACAGAATTCAAATTTTTTTGTGTGAAGTATCCCTTTAAATTCATATTGCACATACTGCAAAAACGAAATATCTTCCTCAGTATTTTTGTCTTGTTTTTGTTGTTTTTCTTTTCTAGGAAGGAAATTTGCTCCATTTGCTCTAAACCTTTTTTTATAGGCTGCTTCTCATTAGCTGTGTAGACGTTTTAGGAAGTTAAAAGAAACAAAAACACAAGTGATTTTGAATTACTGCAGCAGTTTTTCATATATTAAGGCATACTTGCTTGTCTTTATGTTTGACTAAGCAATGCGTCCAAGACTCATCTGCGTCGTTTAGTCGGCGGCCATGGCCAAAAATAATGACTGTGTTTGACTGACCTTGTGCGCTCGGCTAACCCACAGTCACTTAGCAGCTAGTCACGAGGAACACACCCGCTTAACCTGCATACCATTTGTCTTTCTGGGGCCAGACGGGAGAAGAGACTGGTCACTGAATGAGTCACCCACACTCAATATTTGTCTGCTCCGCCTGGAGTCCAGCAGATTGAGTTTGACTATAGGGGAATCAGAGGTTCCTGCGTCATGACACGACCATGAGGCCGGTTTGAGACTTGAGACATCAGACATCAGATGCTTTAAGTGTTAAAGACCAGTGAACTGTGATTTAATAAGATGAACATCTTAAGCACTTTACATGCTGCTCTAATGCAGTTTCGCATGAGTGCTTAAGAAAATGTATGTGATAATAATTACATTAAAACATGTCCAAGTCACATTTTACCCCCAAATCAAGAGTTAATAAAGTAAATTGTTATATATATATATATATATATATATATATATATACAGTATATATCATTTATTTAGTTATTTTGGTACATCAAGTGAAACTAAATAATATATATATATAATTATTATTTTTCCAGGACAATTAGACACATTTTTTACCATTAAATTTAAATGTTACTTTTATGGGGATTAGGTCATTAATGTGATACAATGTTTGTTTGTTTTTTGTGAAAAAGCATAAATTAAAGGCAGCAGAAAAATACTACCATGATGTGTAAATGCTTCACAAATTATTTTTTTCTACAAATAAATATAAAATATACTGCATTACAGAAAGGGCCAATGAGATTTTTTCTGCATTACAGTTATGAGCATTTGTGGGGAATCTGTTAAATTTTTGTGTCAAAATGTGAAAATGCTAAATAAAATATAAAACATAAATCAAATAAAATAATTAAAACAAAATAAAATACATTTTGGCATGAAATATGACCTAACATGTTCTCTGATAGGTTTTCAGATGCTGAATGAAATAAAAAGCACTTTTGTATTACTATGCACATACTGTATCTCTTAATAATGTTATACATTATAAAGACACGAGAACAGATGCATGCTGGGATGTGAAGAGGCCCCTCAGAGAGAGGTGAGAAACTCTCAGACAAGATTTAAATAAACAGGGACACAGACGCTGTCAATACCTTCCCATGCAGAGCTCTAAATTATAGTGCAAATATTAGTCAGACTGGAGGAATACTGTCATTTGCAAATACTGAATGTGAGAAAGCCATTAGGAAAAAGGGCCCAAACCATACAGCTATACAAAAAAAATGTAAAGGGTCAATAGTATAATAATACACAATACTATTCAAAAGTTTCAGATTTGTTAGATTTTTCATATTTTTTAAAAAAGTCTCTTCTGCTCATCAAGGCTGCATTTATTTGGTTAAAAATACAGCAAAAGCTTTAACATTGTGAAATATTATTACAATTAAAAAAAATGTTTTCTATTTGGATATATTGTAAAATGTAATTTATTCCTGTGATTCAAAGCTGAATTTTCAGCATCATCACTTCATGCCTCAATCAGAAATCATTACCATTCCTATTTCAAAAATCACAATTGTTTAGAAATTATAAAGTCATTTTATTTATTTATTTTGCTTATAAAACCAGAAGTCACAGAGAATATAATTTACACACTTAATGTTTTATTTCATGTGAGCTGTACACATTTATAAGACATTCACGTGTCATTGGCGTCGCCTTTCTGTCGTTCTGTGGTCTGAAGCGCCCTCTATGGGCCACAGAGTGAAAATGCCACTACATGATTGCAACAGTCTATAAAGATGGCTTATACTGGCTTTAAATACTGATTAAATAATTCCAGTCCACAGCTGCAATACTGAGTTAGGATCCATCGACTTGAATCCAGAAGTATAAACTCTGTTTCTAGTAGATATTAGCTGTATACCTCTATGAAGTGGTTTTATGAGCTGCCTTTGAGGCAATGTTAGCCTAATGTTCATTAGCTTTAGCTTAACATAATTCCAAATCCTTCAAGCCTCCCTGAACAAAAATCATTTCAATCTTTGGTCTGAATAATAATAGTAAAAATGAAAATATTAAGAAAACTCTTCCTCTTTTTAGGCATCTCAACTGTCGCCCCAGCAAACAATGAATGTTCTGGTACAGGAATGTGTCCAGTAATGTTAAAAAACGTTCATTCAGTTATCTGGTTTTTACGAATGTCCTTAAAAGTCGTCTCGGAAGATTTACAGAACATTTAAAAGTAACGTTTCTATAATGATTGCAAAATTCTAAAATGGAATGTTCACATATAACCAAGAAAAAGAGATGTATGTAACAGAAGTAACGTTCTTAGAACACATTTTTGTTAGCTGGGTAGTTCGAGTCTTTCAGATCCATGTGAGCGCTGGCGATAGTTTGCATAAATCTGAGAGCCCAAGGCCCTGTTATAAAGTCATCATTTCCAACCTTAAAGCAGCTTATTCCTCGGTTGTGTTCCCTTTAAAGGAGAACCACGCAGATATCAGGTCGCAGGTTAGTTAAGAAGGGCAGCTTGTTCCAAAAGGTTTACACAGCACAGCTACACTCTAAAAAATGCTGGGTTAAATACAACCCAGTGCTGGGTAACATAGGGACAAACCCAGCAATTGGGTTGTTTTGACCCAGCAGTTGGGTAACTACCCAGAAGGTTGGGTTAAACATTTAACTCAACCGCTGGGTCAAAACAGCCCAATTGCTGGGTTTGTCCCTATTTTACCAAGCACTGGGTTGTATTTAACCCAGCATTTTTTAGAGTGTAGAGAGAGAGACCCTGCTGAAATTATCCAAAACAGCTTTGACCAGCTAACTAGTTCAGTCAGCCTAAATAACAAGTATAATGCATGTTTTGGGACCTTTTATGCTATTACACTGGTCTACCTTCAGAAACAACCCGTTTAACCCGCTTGTGCCTCTGACACACCAGCAGTGTCAATCTAAACCAGTTAAAGTCCCATGAAATGTTTTGATGAGCTCAGTTTTCTTTCCTGTGCTGACGTATTTACTGAAACAGGAACTAGGTCTCTTTTTTTAATAGTCTTTAGTTTATGTCACAGCCCCGCAAAACTACACTTAGTGGTAGAAAGCCAAGAAAACACTTTAAAAATGAATAAATTCCAGTCACTTCCTACCAAATGTTTGGAGAAGGAAATAAATATGAGCATTAGTGCAATCAAACACACAGACGAAGCATCATTTGTAACTTGCTATTGCTGATTACAGAGGCACTTGGAGTTTATCATTTAGGATTGGGGCTGTTTTCAGTCTAGAGGACATTTTATTGACCAAACTTTTAATAATTTAACTTTAAAAACTTCCAAGTGCATTGATATAAATATGTAGTTGTTATTTATTTCATTAATATAAACTGAAATATTTAAAAGTTTATTTTTACAGCAACAGGCATTCCTGACTCAGTTTATGAAAATAAACTTATATTAGATGTGTATTCTATCAGATAAAATGCACATATGACCAAATTATATATCTATTTTTTTTATATTAAATATCACAAAAGACATTTATAATTCAGTTTAGCACTTTTAAATATAATTATTTATTTAATTTAAGATGATAATTCTGATTGTTTCAGAACATTGCTATGCGGTTGCTAAGGTGTTAAGTTCTGAGAAGCTTTTTAGAATGTTGCTGTGCAGTTGCTAAGGTGTTCTGAGTGTTTTTTTATGTAGTTGCTAAGGATCAGAATTGAGAACCACTGCATATCCCAGCAAACAAGATCAATATTTTTGGGCCGATTTCCTGGAGGAAAAAAGGCCGTACATTTTAAATGCATATATTTGCCAAAAGAAAGTTAAACTTTTACAGGTAGACAAAATATACATGGACTAAGAGCAACAAAACTCCAATTTCGATGCCTTGGTGTCTTTAACAAAACATAAACTTAAAACTGACCCTATTTACTTTCTTAATACACGTTCCTGTTTGTTTAAAATTACTTAATGCACATTATTCATATTTTTTTATAAAAAATAAAAAAAATGCTCCGTTTTCATAATCTTTCAACAAAATTAAACAACTTGCTCCGCCTCTGAAACGACTTTCCTATTCAGCTGACATCACAAATCCCTCTTGCGTTTTAACCCTGCCCCTCCAAGCACATGTCCAAACACTTTCCTCTCTTCTCACACTTTCAATCAGAAATACATTAGGCTATATATGTAAATTGAGCTGTCAATGCCATCTCATGGTGACTTTAGGTTGGTCCAAACTAGGCTTTTTTTCCAGCAGGGGTGTGAGAGAGAAAGAGGGCTTTGAGATGCTTCTGGCGTTTTCCATGGGAAATACAGTCACTGCCCCTCGGCCTGGGATTCTCCGTCCTCCGGTGTGAGTCAGCTGGGTTGTGTGGCATCAGTCCCTGTGTAATAAAAAGACTTTCATTACATCGTGCACTCTCATGTCTCGCCCATCACAGACAGGGTCACAAGCCACAGGCATCTTCATTAGACAAATGTCCCTTTCAAAGCATGTTGATCGATGCTTATAAGCAAGCTCTGGAGCAGAGCCCAGATCAGAGAAATGAAAAGCCGCCGACAAACATTTAAAAAGACCTAATCAGCAATAATTACAGAAGATGAGCATGACGATACGACACTAGGTGCTTCTCTACCTTTGACTTGTCCTTGGCATAGCTGCTGCTTTTACAAACCTGACTGGCTTGCATTATGTGCTAAAATAATGTAAAGCAATTTAGCCCCCCGTGTTCTAATGCCAAGATTGTTCTCGCTTATCAGGGTGATTTATTACTCTAATTTATACGCTCAGCTTGGCTCGGTGTTGAGGACAGCATATCTGATTGGACATGAGTTTCCTAATGCGGCAGTGTGCTGTCTTTATGGTGACTAGATCCCAGGCTGTAGATGCTCTGGTTTGGACATAGCTACACAACTATTCAGTTCATGGAATAATAAAGTACTGGTGTTACAATCACAGGGTCAGAAATTCATGAAGGCAAAAATGCCACCAAAATGAACAAAATGCCACACAAATTCAAATTCAAGTGGCAAAAATTGCCAGTGCATAATTACACTAAATATATCATGGCTGTTGCAGTTCAAATGAAATGTGAGAAATGTCAAATCGCAGAATTACATTTACTGTAGCTCTTTACACAATGCATTAAACTTCTAACCAATCACACGTTTCTGTTGAGTGCTTGCGTTCACCAAATTCTGCGCGCTAGTCAAGATAAACCACTAAGTGCAGATACGATGTACATAAGAAATTAATTTCTCAGCTTCAGTGATTATAACTGTAGTTTTTGCATAACTTGGATTTTTTCAAATGTTTGCTATGCTGTTGCTATGCTCCTTGCATGGTTTTCCTCAGATAAATCTGTTTACTTTCGAACGGAATCGCGAATCGATTACGAGTGGAGAGAGCTAAATACAGATGTAAAACTAGAACTAACATTGGATCACTAAAATCACATTAAAGGGATAGTTCACCCAAGAATGAAAATGTGATGTTTATCTGCTTTCCCCCAGGGCATCCAAGATGTAGGTGACTTTGTTTCTTCAGTAGAACACATTTGATGATTTTTAACTCAAACCGTTGCAGTCTATCAGTCTTATAATGCATGGCAATGGTAACAAAATCTATGAGAGTAAAAAAAACATGCACAGACAAATCCAAATTAAACCCTGCGGCTCGTGATGACACATTGATGTCCTAAGACACGAAACGATCGGTTTGTGCCAGAAACCGAACAGTATTTATATAATTTTTTACCTCTAATACACCCCTATGTCCAACTGTCTTTGAGCACGCGCACGGCTTCCGGTGCATGAGGTGTGTACGCGCTCTGGTGTAGTTTACGTTAATGGGTGTGTTGATATCCAGCCGAAGAGCAATCAACCATAACTTCAGGCGAGCAGGCTCAGAAGTTGGGAATACGTGGAAAGTCACCACTCCCGAATGAGTTTGCGTGAGAGAACGTAATCTTTTTAGTGTTAAGTCGGTTTGAACAATCCGGATAAGAGCAAGCAAGTACCATTTTGATTAGCCGTCATACCTACAATGACTGTGCACTGTGTAAACAATAAGTGACGTATACGCGCGAGAGATCACTTCCGGCGCTTGCGTAAACTACGCCAGAGCGCGTACACACCTCACGCACCGGATGCCGTGCGCGCGCCCAAAGACAGTTGGACATAGTGGTGTATTAGAGGTAAAAAATTATATAAATACTGTTCGGTTTCTGGCACAAACCGATTGTTTCGTGTCTTAGGACATCAATGTGTCGTCACGAGCCGCAGGGTTTAATTTGGATTTGTCTGTGCATGTTTTTTTTACTCTCATAGATTTTGTTACCATTGCCATGCATTATACGACTGATAGACTGCAACGGCTGGAGTTAAAAATCATCAAATGTGTTCTACTGAAGAAACAAAGTCACCTACATCTTGGATGCCCTGGGGGTAAGCAGATAAACATCACATTTTCATTTTTGGGTGAACTATCCCTTTAATCACAGTCAGAAACGCATGTGATCACATATCACATACGTGCGGATCCGTCGCGAAGCACCGCCTACTCACCTGTCAATCAACCAGAGCGGTAAAATATACATTTGAAATTTGCCGCGAACATGTGCAGCGTTAACGGAAAATAACCGTCAGAACTAAACATTTGCGTAAGCGCATTAATACCGGCTACAGGGCACGCACAAGACTTCAGCATGATTGATATCATATCATTTGAATCACATCGAAGTTCAATTTACACAGGTAAGACATTAAATACTCTAACGTTACATATTAAACGTGAAACACTTTGATTAAAATTCACATATATTTGAGCGACAGATATGTGTCTCATCTGTGAGCGGATCATAACGTCAGATGTAAACAAGGCCTCAGTGATTTAGCATCTTTAGCATATTTTAACAGCTTTTATTTTACTGTGTGGTTTCTAGTGTTCTGGGTCGTTGCTATGCGGTTGCTAAGGTGTTCTGACTATTTTTTTAAACATCTTTTATTTTACTCTGTGGTTTCTGAAGTGTTCTAGGTCAGTGAATCTCAACCTTTTGGCGTACCGGACCCCAGTCCAATTCAGAACCATCCTCAAGGACCCCCAGAACAAAATTGACTCATCTATCTATGTATGTCTTTGTGAGGACCAAATGTAGTCAAGTATCATTCAAGTTAGTTGGCCATATCATCAGCTATATTGGATTTTTCTTTCATGGGAACATGTCAAAATATACAAAATGTATACAAAAATTCATACTTTATACAGACCCCCTGGCCTTACGTCAAGGACCACTAGGGACCCCTGGTTGAGAAACACTGTTCTAGGTCGTTGCTAGGGTGTTATATTTGTAAACAAATCAGCATGACTCTCATCTGAACAATAACAATTTCTCTTGGCATTTCTCACACAAGAGATGTAGCCATGCAAAGTTAAAACAGTTTCAACTTTTAGAAAAAACGTGGCGAATTTGTGGAAGTTTATTCCTTTCACTGCGTCTCATATGTTTTTAAATGCAATCTGCTGATGTGCGATTCGGCTCTTTGGATTAAGCAATGCATAAATACATGATGCTGTTTTGTTCATAATTGTTTATGCAATTTACGAAATTATATTTGATTTATGAGTTAATTTAGACATAATGCAGGTTTTTTTATAGACAGTTATTTCTTTGCGTTGACAATTTAAATGTGCTGCATTATTTTGCTCATTGCGCCCTCCTGTAGCCTCGGGGAAACAAGCCAAAAGATTCCTTGAGACCTATTTAATCTGCATATAAAACATTAGAAATTATATATTTGTTTAATTTTTATTGTGTGTTTAACCGTTAAAACAAAAAATATTTGGGTTATATAAATTGGGTTAATTTAAAAATACAGTGGTTACATTTGAAAAAATGTTTCTATTGCTCTTTGTTTTAAAAAAGGTTATAAAAATGTCAATAATTATCAATACCGAACGATATGAAATATTATATCATTGATACATTTTTTTAGCTATATCGCCCAGCCCTAATTTCAAATCCCTAAGGTGACTTAGTACAGCTCTCTGGAAGGTTTAATTTGATCAACTTTGTCTCACATTTCTCGTAAAATTCCTTAGAAAAAAACAGACAGAAATGAGTGAAAAGCTGCCATAGAGTAAGAGTACTGTATGTAGAGCTATAAAAGTGATGAGAATTGATGAGAACTTGAGAACATCATTTTTTTAAAGAGAAACATATGAGAAACAGTGAGAAAAATTCTGTAATTTTCCTCCCACAAAAGATATTTAAAAAAATGTTTTGGTGTTTTTTGTCAATACACTGAAAGTAAATGGGGTCCAATGTTGTTTGGACCCAAATGTTCTTCAAAATATCTCCCTTTATGTTCCACAGAGGAAAGAAAGGTATACAGGTTTGGAACAACATTTTAAGGTAACCTGTTCCTTTAAGCAAAAGTTTCTCCATTTGCTCTCAATTTAATCTCACTGCTGTCTTGGAGAAACAAGTGATGTAATAAAGAGATATCCTTTGGGATTTTAATCCCAACTGGAATTTAAATGAAAATCACTTGTAAATAGTACAGTGTTCTCCTTTAGGCTTCATTTTACAGCCGATGAAGACATGGTTTTTGAAACCGACACTGAGTAGCCCGAGCGAAGGCACCAAGCGGTGGGCGTTCTCTGTAAACACACGTCTATGAAAACATCTGCTGTGTTTGGGTGACGCTGTCTGTTATGCACCTACTTCCTGGTTTGTGTTGAGCCCAGCTGTTGTTGCCCTCCCAGCTAGTGGGTGGCCGTCATCGTAAATGATGTCTGAAAATGCCTGTGTTTATTTGACCATCACAAATATTGTACGAGCATGCCTCATTCGGTCAGGCCTTAAGCCAAGTGGTTTCTAATGAAAACCAGACAGAAGGGCCAGCCTTTAAACAATAAAAAGCAATGGTGCAGAGACGCATACCCTCCACTAGAGGACAATGACCCTCTACTGCCAAACCGTAACTACTGCTTTCATATCCCAACAGGCAGGAATCAGTTCCTTTTGTTCTCAACCGCACACACAAAGATCACATCTGCCATTTTAACTTTAACCCCAAAGGAATGTCAGATACGTCAGGGAATAGTGTCAAATTCAAGCTCTCCCAGCTAAATGGCTTAGTTGAACTAGTTGTGCTTCCTAAGCCAGGGGTTTTTCAGAAGTATTAAAGCTCAATGTTTGCATGCTCCAGACATCAAAATCTTGTGTCTTATTGAATATGATTTTTACCTGATAAAATGGCAAAAAATAGAAGGAGGGATGCGAGCCATGTTTCCAACCTAAGCTCATTGGCAAAATAGATCTATTACGTTGCCTCTTGTGTATTTCGCAATACATTCAAAGTGAAATGCCCAGCATAGGGG